GGGAGGGAGGAGGAGTAGTGTGGAAGGAAGAGGAGGGTGGTGGGAGGGAGGAGGACGGAGGTGGAGGGAAAGAGGAGGAAGGAGGAAGAAGTGGAGGGAGGAGGAGGGTGGAGGAAGGAGAGAGGGAGGGAGAAGAGGGAGGGAGGAGGCGGGAGGAGAAAGGAGGGGGAGGAGGAGGAGGGTGAGGAGGTCAAACGTCAAGGGGCGTTAAGGAAGAACCAGACAGAGCCAAGCACTTAAGTGCAGGTGAGAAATACCTCAGCTACCCAAGACTCAAATTAAGAAAGAGGAACTTACCTTAATGTAAGTGAGAAGTTCGGTCAGGAAACTACGTGTCTGGAGACAACAAGAGGAGCAAAAATTAATTCACTGGAGAAGGAAGTAGAGCAGGGGTCTTCAAACTGGGCCCTTTGATGACTCGTGGACTTCAACTCCCAGAATTCCTCAGCCAGGCACGCTGGATGAGGTATTCTGGGAGTTGAAGTCCACTCCTCTTGAAGTCTACATCAGGGGTCTTCAAACTTGGCCCTTTTAGGACTTGTGGACTTCAACTCCCAGAATTCTGGGAGTTGAAGTCCACAAGTCCTCAAAGGGCCCAGTTTGAAGACCCCTGAAGTAGAAGATTTTGCAATTATGTGATCCACAAAGATCAGGAAAAATTCCTGCTTGGTGAGTGGGGAAAAAAATTGTTCAAAATTGTTCCTTCCTTCCTTCCTTCCTCTCATTTCCATCTACTCCCTCCCTCCTCCCCCTTCTTTCTTTCTCTTTTTCTTTCTTTTCTTCCTCCCTCCCTTCCTTCCTTCCTCTTTCTTCACCCATCCCTCCCTTCCTTTCCCTCCTTCCTCCTTCCCTCTTTCCCTCCCTCCCCTTCCTTTCCTTATCACACACCTGAGCTCTTCCTTCTCTTAAAAAACAAACGAATGCAACCCCAGCATTCTTCTCTTCCACCCCGATCCGACGTACCTGGTCCTCAGTCATCGCTTCGTCCAGCCCTTCTTCTTCCACCACAAAGCTCTCCTTCAGCTTCAGATACTCCTCGTATTCCCGCTGCTCCTCCTCCTCCTTGGCCTTCTTCAGCTCTTCTTCCTGTGGGGAGGGAGGCTCGGATGATTTTATTCTTGCAATGCCTACGGAGGAGTCTCAAGACTTTCCCCCTCCCCCACTATGTGTTCAAAATGGACTGGGAATTAATACATCATCATCATCCTCATTCTAGCCCCAGTCTACCGACGGCAGGAGGAAGGCCTCGTCCACATGTTTCCAACCCCTACGGTCCTGAGTTTTCTTTTGCCAGAAAGAAATCACCGGGCCGGTTTTCGTGGTTAAGGCAGGACTAGAACTCGCCGTCTCCTAGGGATAGGCCCCGAATCGGCCGGTTGAGTTTCATGCCTAAGGTGGGACTAGAATTCACAGTCTCCCACTTTCTAACCTGGTGTGACTAGACCAAGGGTAGGCAACCTTGGCTCTTTTATGACTCGTGGACTTCAACTCCCAGAATTCCTGAGCCAGCCTTGCTGAGGGGAAAGGGAGAGGTTTCCAATCTGAGCCATGGTAGCTCAGGAATTCTGGGAGTTGAAGTCCACGAGTCATAAAGGGGCCTAGGCCTAAAGTAGGCAACCTTGGCTCTTTTATGACTCAGGGACTTCAACTCCCAGAATTCCTGAGCCAGCCATGCTGAGGGGAAAGGGAGAGGTTTCTAAGCTGAGCCATGCTGGCTCAGGAATTCTGGGAGTTGAAGTCCACGAGTCATAAAGGGATCATAGTTCCCTATACTGGCTCAGGAATTCTGGGAGTTGAAGTCCACGAGTCATAAAGGGGCCTCGGCCTAGGCCAGAAGTAGGCAACCTTGGCTCTTTTATGACTCAGGGACTTCAACTCCCAGAATTCCTGAGCCAGCCATGCCGAGGGGAAAGGGAGGGGTTTCCAAGCTGAGCCATGCTGGCTCAGGAATTCTGGGAGTTGAAGTCCACGAGTCATAAAGGGGCCTCGGCCTAGGCCAGAAGTAGGCAACCTTGGCTCTTTTATGACTCAGGGACTTCAACTCCCAGAATTCCTGAGCCAGCCATGCTGAGGGGAAAGGGAGGGGTTTCCAAGCTGAGCCATGCTGGCTCAGGAATTCTGGGAGTTGAAGTCCACGAGTCATAAAGTGGCCTAGGCCTAGGCCAGAGGTAGGCCACCTTGGCTCTTTTATGACTCGTGGACTTCAACTCCCAGAATTCCTGAGCCAGCCATGCTGAGGGGAAAGGGAGAGGTTTCCAAGCTGAGCCAGCATGGCTCAGCTTGGATACCTCTCTCTTTCCCCTCAGCGTGGCTGGCTCAGGAATTCTGGGAGTTGAAGTCCACCAGTCACGAAGGGGCCAAAGTTGCCTACTCCTGGACTAGACCAATTAACCAAGGATCTACCAAAGAGAAAAAAAATCACACCTCCACCAACACTGGCAGGACAAATAGAAAGAAATCCCGACACCCACTAGCACTGATGGTGTGACACAGTTGGGCGATGAAACGTCTGCGGGAAAATTTCCAAGCTCAGAGAGCGCTAAAGACTGCACAGTTCAAACCCTGATCTACAGATATTCTCTTCTATTGCAAGACGCAACAGAAACCTAGTCCTGGTTTTGGCCATGTTGGGGGCACCCCAACTTTGTTCCACAATCGTCTCTCTCACAGCTCACCTTCCTTTCCTCCTCCTGGCGCAGCCGTTCCTCTTCTAAGTGGCGTTCTTCTTCCCGTTTTTGTTCCAGCTTCTTTCTTTCTTCCCGTTCGGCTTCTTCCGCCTTTGGACGTGGAAAAGGGGCGACAATTAAATACCGGAAAAACCAAAGAGATTATTGTCGATTTCAGAAAAGGCAGGCACAGCCACACTCCTCTGTGCATCAATGATTCACCTGTGGAGATGGTTGCCAGCATCAAATTCCTGGGTGTGCAGCTAATGAGCAAGCTGGCTTGGTCGCTCAACAGGGAGAAACTGGTGAAGTGGGCACAGCAGCGCCTGCATTTTCTGCGTCGCATGAGAAAAGCACATCTTCCTTCCCCTGTCCTGACCACTTTCTACAGGGGGACGATCGAGAGCATCCTGTCATACGGCATCACAGTCTGGTTTGGAAGCATCCCTGCTTCAGACAGGAAGGCGGTGCAGAGAGTGGTGAGGACAGTTGAAAAGATCATTGGCAGTTCCCTCCCTCCCATCCAGGACATAGCACAGAAGCGTTGCTTGAGCAGGGTGCGCAAGATTGTCTGGGACACTACACACCCTCTTCACAACCTGTTTTCTTTGTTCCCTTCCGGGAGGAGGGGGCTTCGTGGTATCTGTAGCAGAACATCCAGATTCAGCCATAGTTTCATTCCATACAGCATTAACCTGGTGAACTCTCAAGCTTCCTCCTTCCATTATATATTCAAGATGGACAGTATTTAATATTTATTTGCTACGTATATGTAGGGGTGTGGGACATGATCCAATCAAAGAACGCCGAGATAGATAGATAGATAGATAGATAGATAGATAGATAGATAGATAGATAGATAGATAGATAGATAGATGATAGATAGATAGACAGACAGATACATGATAGATACATAGATGATAGATGAAAGATAGATGATAGATGATATATATATAGGTAGAATAGAGATAGATAGATAGATAGATAGATAGATAGATAGATAGATAGATGATATAGACAGATAGATACATGATAGATACATAGATGTTAGATGAAAGATAGATAGATGATATATATAGGTAGAATAGCTAGATAGCTAGATGATAGATATGATAGATGAAAGATAGATGATAGATGAAAGATAGATAGATGATAGATGATAGACAGACAGACAGACCTTTATTGTCATTTTTTACTGTGGGCACGACACACATTAAAAATGAAATTTAGTTGCTTGCTCTCAAAGTGTACACATACATAATGCACATTTAAACATACTATATACAATGTATGTATAGACCTACACCCTTATATATAAGTAACATATAAACATTAATCACTGTCCATCTTGAATACATAACAGAAGGAGGATGCTTGAGAGTTCACAAGGTTAATGCTGTATGGAACAAAACTGTGGCTGAATCTGGATGTTCTGCTTCGGAGACCACGAAGCCCCCTCCTCCCGGAAGGTAACAAGGAAAACAGGTCGTGAAGAGGATGTGTAGTGTCCCAGACAATCTTGCGCACCCTCCACAAGCAACGCTTCTGTGCTATGTCCTGGATGGGAGGGAGGGAACTGCCAATGATCTTTTCTGCCGTCCTCACCACTCTCTGCACCGCCTTCCTGTCCGAAGCAGGGATGCTTCCAAACCAGACTGTGATGCCGTATGACAGGATGCTCTCGATCGTCCCCCCTGTAGAAAGTGGTCAGGACAGGGGAAGGAAGACGTGCTTTTCTCATAAAATACATTTGATAAAATGCAGGGGAGACTCACCTCTCTCTGAGTTTTCCTTGCTTGCTTGTCCTCTAACTTCCGTTGTTTCTTTGCTCCAATCTTTCCGGAAACTTGGAACTCAGCTGGTTCGGCTCCATCGTTTTCGTCTAGGTTTGGTTCACAATCATTTTTGGAGAGGAAAAAAGGAAATGGAAAGGATGGTAAGAGATTACACGGCAGGGGGACAAGCTGTTGGGCTGTTGTTTTTCTGCTTCTAGAAAATCATTTTGGCAGAGCAGAAAGACTTCCAATATTAAGAATGGAACCGGCTGCTTACCCTGGTTCAGGGATAGACAACCTTGGCTCTTTTATGACTTGTGGACTTCAACTCCCAGAATTCCTGAGCCAGCATGGCTCAGCTTGGAAACCTCTCCCTTTCCCCTCAGCATGGCTGGCTCAGGAATTCTGGGAGTTGAAGTCCACGAGTCATAAAAGAGCCGAGGTTGCCTACCCCTGCACTAGGCCTAGGCTGCTTTATGACTCGTGGACTTCAACTCCCAGAATTCCTGAGCCAGCATGGCTCAGTTTGGAAACCTCTCCCTTTCCCCTCAGCATGGCTGGCTCAGGAATTCTGGGAGTTGAAGTCCACGAGTCATAAAAGAGCCAAGGTTGCCTACCTCTGGCCTAGGCCGCTTTATGACTCGTGGACTTCAACTCCCAGAATTCCTAAAGCTTGGAAACCTCCCCCTTTCTCCTCAGCGTGGCTGGCTCAGGAATTCTGGGAGTTGAAGTCCACGAGACTGTTTTAGGCATGTTGAGAAGAGCAACAAACATGATGAGGGGACTGGAGGCTAAAACGTATAAGGAACGGTTGCTGGAATTGGGCATGTCTAGTCTAATGAAGAGAAGGATGAGGGGAGACAGGATAGCAGTCTTCCAATATCTCAGGGGCTGCCCCAAAGAAGAGGGAGTCAAGCTCTTCTCCAAAGCGCCTGAAGGCAGGACAAGAAGCAACGGATGGAAACTAATCAAGGAGAGAAGCAACCTAGAACTAAGGAGAAACTTGCTGACAGTGAGAACAATTAACCAGTGGAACAACCTGCCTCCAGAAGCGGTGAATGCTCCAACACTGGAAGCTTTTAAGAAGAAACTGGACAGCCATTTGTCCGAAATGGTGTAGGGTTTCCTGCCTGAGCAGGGGGTTGGACTAGATGACCTCCAAAGACCCTTCCAACTTTATTATTATTACTATTACTATTACTATTATTATTACTATTACTATTATTATTATTATTATTATTATTATTATTATTATTATTATTATTATTATTATTATTATTATTATTACTATGAGGAGCTTAAAAATCTTTAAAATCCCTTTATTTACTGGAGCGTTCGTTCTCTCTGGATCCAGAGAAACTCATTGCCTGGGTCACCGAACAGTGCAAAACAGAAGCGTACTGGAAAAGGAAAGAGAGCGCCATTCACTGAGCATCAAAGAAGCTCTACCCTTCACAGGATATGGGATGGTATCTCACTGCTAACTCAAAAGGACTGGTGTTGACTTCTCAAATAACGTTGGCCAACTGACTTGGGTGGATCTCTAACTTAAAAAGTACTCCTAGCTCCTTAAAAAGTACTCCATCCTTTTCTGAGCTGAAAGATTCAACAACATGGACCGCTCCGGGCCTTTTGAGATAACTTCAAGGAAGATGGGGGAAATTGGACAGAAATTATAAAGCAGGCCTGCCCTGAAAACATCAAAAGCCCTTTTTTAAAAATTATTATTTTTTATTTCCCAATTTCGTTCCGTTTGAAACGCCTTTTTGCACTTCAAAGGCATCCACCTGGGTTGAAAAGTTCAGGGCTGTCAACCAAGAGAGTCTGTGCCGCACGCACAAAAGCAGCATCACAAATTCCGCCCAACACCCTTTGGGGCAGAGAAACAGAAAGCGACGCCGTGTTCAAAGCGGAAAACCATCAAAAAGGACAGCGTGAGGTGGGAGGAAGAGGGGTGGGTGTCAAGATCGGCATACAAATCATGAGCTGCCGCCATGATTTGTGAAAAAAAAAAGCATTTTTGTGCTAAATAAAATTTCCCCGATAAGAAATGGATGCAGGGTGTGAAAGTCAGGTTTAGCGAGCGGTTAAGGCACCAGGTTGGAAACAGGAGATGGTGAGTTCTAGTCCTGTTTTAGGCAGGAAAGCCGGCTGGGTGACTTTGGACCAATCAGCAGAAGACAGTGAATTCTAGTCCTGTTTTAGCCATGAAAGCTGGCTGGGTGACTTTGGGCCAATCACCAGGAGACGGTGAATTCTAGTCCTGTTTTAGCCATGAAAGCTGGCTGGGTGACTTTGGGCCAATCACCAGGAGACGGTGAATTCTAGTCCTGTTTTAGCCATGAAAGCTGGCTGGGTGACTTTGGGCCAATCACCAGGAGACGGTGAATTCTAGTCCTGTTTTAG